ACAGTTAATGATCAGCTCCATCTTGCCACCACATCTCACTCATGCTGTGGCCACTATGTATCAGTGTTAACACTCCTGGAGGTCTTGAGCAAGTTCATGCACAGGGGTATTCACTAGAACAATGGTTTCTACCTCCAGCTGATCAGAATAATCTTCAAATGGATTTCTGGTTCTCTCTCTCTCTCTCTCTCTCTCTCTCTCTCTGGAAATTCAAATTAAGTAGATCTGGAATGACTTCTGGGATTTTGTGTCCTTAAGTAGGGTTTCTGGGTAATTTTCCCCTAGCTTAGGGCCCACTACAAACAGGGATGATAGATAGCTCACCTGGTCTGGAAGGAAATTCTGAGCACATCTAGAGCAATGCCCTCATTCTGCAGTGAGGATGCCAGTCCCAGGGTGGGAGGTTTAGAAAGAGGGGAAAAATAGAGAAAACAAAGAGCTAATAACAGGATTCCAAGGTGGGAAACATGATCCCAATCTATTTTATATTCATTTGGACTTGGCCTCTCATCTCTAGAAGCCAGGCCCCCCTTTCAGACAACCTGGTGGATGTCAGGCATAGGAGTCTGGCCAACTCTGCCTCACACTCTGTGACCTCACCAATGTATTGGCATTTCTGGGCAATACTCTGTCAAAATGTGAAGTCAAAACAACACTACGTAACACGTGTATTCCCTCAGATTAGTGTCAGATTCAAATGGGAGTTTCTCTTGCAGATTTTTGAGCACCTTTAAAGAACTTTATAAATGGTCTTTTATAAAATTTGATTTTTAATACTCAGCCCTAGTCCTAGAGACTCTGTAATTTTTATTCAAATGGTTGACATAGAAGGAAAAGGTACAGAGCTGGAGGTTAATCATCAGTGAAAGGTTGGAAGGTAGGGAGAAGAAGGGACAACTGGGAAAGGTCATCCATAGCCAATGTCGAAGGACGGTAGGATATCCTAAACCATGGTCCTGAGGGAACAGTCCCCATTGCCAAATGCACTTAAGAACCACCAAGCTTCTAAAGCATACAGAGAGAAACAACAGACACATAGGCACACACAAAGAAACATGCAAAGCCCACAGAAGAACATGTAGGTACACGTGCACATACACTGGGTAGCTGTTTCCTCTGAACTGCTATAGATAGGCTGGAACTTTTCACTGTGGGCCTGCCTGGAGGCTCAAGGCTGGGCATCCTGTCAGAGGAAGTAGACGACCTTTGAAGTCAATGCAGAATAGCTCCAGGAGAGATGAGTGTAGACCCTGAGCTCCTCTGATGTCAGAGGTGACATTGAGGCTGGCTTCTGCACAGCCCTGGCCTGTGAGAGAGCACCAGGCCATCTGGGTTTCTCTGACTCAGCCCCAGCCTGCTTCACCCAGAGACCTCTTTATTCTCCCATCATTCAACTCCTTTCTAGACCTAGTTATCCTCGGGGACCGGAGTTTATCCCCAGAGGGCAGTGCAGGTCATGGGATCATTAGAATAAATAGCCTGTTCCCTACCCCAGGGTATGGGGGCAGGAGAAGGGGTAAAGAAGTGGCTTTTAAATGTGAATAACCTCTCACAAGTAGGACTGAGTTTCTTCTGTACCTTGAGGGAATGGATTTTCTGCTCACCCTCCAGATGAGGGGATCTTCGACCAGGGATGTGTTTGAGAGAAGAGAGGGAGACGTCTAATGAAAATTTGGGGCTTCCAAACTTCTTGCCATCTTGTTCTTCCCACACCCACTTATGGGCCTAGGCAATGGGAACCCAGAAATGTCCTTTAGGAGCCATTTGGGCCCTGCCAAGGCCCAGGAGGCATGTATCACTGAGAAGATATAGTTCCAGAGCAACTAGGATTCTAAGAGAAGAAGCAAATGTAGAACAGGCAAATATAACCTATTTAATAAATAACTCCAAAACTGTGTTAGAAAAATGACTGGATTGATACAAGGAAGATCTCTGGAAGAAGGAGGAACTGTGACCCAGGTGAAAGGTGCCATGTGTTATAGAATCAAGTTTGGCTCTATGGCTTTGGCAAGTCACGTATATTCTGTGTGCTTAGGTTTCCAACTGTGAAAAATGGCAGCATACAAGATACAAGACACATTGTACATAGGACAATGACACTTCAGTCCCCTTCAAAGTAGGAACCTTGGGACCACACACAGTTCTCCCAATCGCCATCAGCTGCCCTGTTGTATTTTCCTGAATCTCATTAATGGTCTGAAATCTCTTCCCTTTCAAGGGTGATTTTAGTTTTGGGAAAATCCAGAAGTTGCAGGGCACCAAATCTGGGCTGTAAGGGGGCTGGGTCACCTCAGTGATTTGATGTTTCACCAAAAATCTCTGAGTGAGACATGATGCATGAACAGGCATGTTGTCGTAATGGAGCTGCCAATCACCAGTTGCCCATAGCTGTAGCCTTCTGAATCATCCCAAAAGTTTTCTCAGAGGAATGTTCAAGCTTAATGCAAAATTTAATCCAGATTTGTTGCTCTACTCACTCATTGGGAATGTGATGGCCACACAGTACACATGCTCACTCAATGGCATCTACTGCCCCTACGGACTAGTACAGTGAAGTCATCACTGTTCATGCATGCGCATTCCAGTCCACTCTCTTTGGCTGCCAGGCTACATCAATGTTGCACAAACCATTCTCATTATACTAATAGTGAGTACCTGGACTTTTTCCAGACAGGCCTCATATGTGTGTTTGTATATTTACTTATTTATACAGCTGACCCTTGAACAACATTGGTTTAAATGGTGGAGTTCCATCTACATGTGGATTTTTTTCAGTACTGTAGATATATCTCTTCCATATAGTTTTCTTAACATTTTTTAGCTTTATTGTAGGAATACAGTATATAGTACAAAATATGTGTGAACCAATTGTTTATGTTATTGGTAAGGCTTCTGGTCAACAGTATGCAATTAGTAATTAAGTTTGGGGGTGAGTCAAAAATCATACACAGATTTCATTTGCATGTGGGCCAACACCCTTAACTTCCACATTGTTCAAGAGTCAACTGTGTGTGTATATACATGCATATGCATATATATATATTTTCATATTCTACCTGTTTAAGGTATTTTACTAACCTAGTAACAACCACACATTACTGGGCATCAGAAATACTTGGAGGTTAGGTTAAAACAGATGAGTCTCACTCCCAAAATCTCTGTATCAGTAGGTCTGGGGTGATGCACTTTTGTGTCTTACAAGGCCTTAAGGCGAGGCTGATGCTGCTGGTCCAGGTGCCATACTTTGAGAACCAGTATGCAAGGCTGCAGGCTCTCTGACAGCAAACAAGGGTTCTGTCTATCCCTTTTACCACTGCCTTCCTAGCAAGTAAGCAATGAATATTTATCAATAAATGAAGGAATGAATGGATTTCACATGAAGAGCCTCAGTTTTTCTTTATACAACACAGAATTTTACTAGGTGGTCTCTCAAGTTTTCCACCACTGATATTGCTATAAATAGATTCCCGGGGTGAGGGAAAGACATACTCAGAGTCAGGCCCTGGATCTGTGATGCTAACTATGGTTCTGGGGTTGTCAGGCCATCTGAGGTTGTGGCCTTTGAGGAAGAGGGCATTGGATCAGGCCCAGACCAGAAATGTCTCCCTTTCATCCTGGTGGCCTCAGGCACTCTGTCCCTCTGGGGAAGGGCTCTCCTCAGGAACATTGTTCCCCAGCCAGTACTTATCTCATCTGCAGGAAGTGGAAGGAAAAGACACCCCAGGCTCTCCTGCCCCTCCAAGCCCCATTTTCATGCTGCCTAGACCAGCATGCCTAATGGGATTTGAGAGCGATAGAGAAATGCAGAGCCAGCCTCAGATGCTCCCTTTTCTAGTATGTCCCCCCCCCCTGCAAAAAAAGTGCAAATACTTTATTCTTAAAGAAAGAAAAGTGTATCTTGTGCAGGGTATCCCAGAGAACCTGGCAGGGGGGGCCCCTTCTCTTCTTCCTTGACTCCATTAAGGTCCCATGGCAATGACTACGGCCCCAGAGCTGGGGGACCGACCAACGCAGGCCTGAAGACCTTTACTGCTAGACTAAGGAGCAAGAGTCATCGTCTCTGCTTCCTCATTCCTTGTGCCTTTTTATTTATCCTTTTCCAGCAGGGGCCAGAAACACTGAGGGGACACAGAAAAACCACAAAACAGCCCACCTGCTCTAAAGAAAGTTTAGTTGTGGGTACAATAAACCCAAGACAAAAATAATAAAGAAAAAATAAAAGCTCACCCCAGAGAGTCAGGAAAGAATGACAAACAGGCATTACATAGGACTCAGGATCTGAGTGGGTAGCATTATCTTTATTGTTACATGGTCTCCCCTTGTCCCGGTCTTGGGGTTGCCCATCAGGATAGATCACAGCTCAAGCTGCCAACCCATTAGCCTTGCCAAGGAGCTGCCTACCCCAGGAGAAGCAAGGGACTGCAGGGATATTCTGACTCCACTCAAATGGGAGTGTCCAACGTGGTTGAGCAGGTAAGACAGACACATCTGAAAAGTGAAATTGTTCAAGAGATGTTGTAAGGCACTTGCCAAATGGATGGTGTAGATGATGCAGTGATTTCTAGGTAGTCAGTTCAGGCTTCTGTGAGTAGGAACAAGCAGAAATATCTCCAAGGAAGAGGTCTTGAAAGACTGACTGGGTTTTGAATGCTGGGAGTAGCAGAGAAGTGGCCCAGGAATGGGGGGTGGGGGATGAACAGAGGCTTGGAGGCACGGATGTCTAAGGTATGTCTTGGAGAACACCCAAGATGTGCCTTGGTGGTGAGACTGGTCTGATGAGAACTGAGGATGTGTACAGGAGAGGAGCCAGGTGTGAGGCTGCAGAGGTATCTAGGATCCAGGTATGGGTCCTGGGATAACACGCAAAGGGGTTTGGACATCACCTCTGCAGCTGGGATGTCTTTGGAACATTGCAAACAAGAACGCAGAAATTGTGAATGCTGGGAAAGGTGCGGCAACATTTTCATGGCAGGGGCAGGGACGTTTCAGCCATGCTTCCTTTAAAAATAGGCACCCTTTGCTACAGCAGAGGCCCCGCCTTTCGCTCCAGCAGAGGCCCCGCCTTTCGCTCCAGCAGAGGAACCTCCTTGGTCTCCGTAACCACCCAAGCACAGTGGCTCTGGGAATACATCACAAGGTCCGTAGCTAGCATCACTGTCTCCACACTGGTTATAACGAGCTGGGCCACAGCAGGGACCCTCGGTGTCCAGGCGGACTGGATGGGATTCATGACAGCCTAGGTCTCCAGAGCATGGAATTGGATTTGGGCCTGAGCATGGGCTGGGGCAGCTCCGAGGCTGCACATACGGCTCTGGGCTCGGGCAGGGCGGTGGAAGGGGAATTGGCTCTCGACAAGGTTCTGGGCGCTCACAGGGTCGTGGACTTGGCTCTGGGTGAGGCCGCGGGGCTGGCCGCGGGGCTGGCCGTGGGGCTGGCCGTGGGGCTGGCCGTGGGGCTGGACTTGGTTCTGGACACAGGCAGGGCTCCGAAAGTCGCCGAGGTGAACACGGGCGACGCTCTGGACTTGCACATCGTTCTGGGCTTGCCCATCGTTCTGGGCGTGGGCATGGACGTGGGGCAGGAAGTGGACGTCGCGGCAGTGATGGCTGTGGACATTGGTCAATACTCCTGGGTGGACAGAAGCTTGGGAGCGGACGTGGCTCTGCATGTGGTCTCAGCTCCGGGCAGGAGGCTCCCCAGGAGGGTCGAGGAGCACAGCTCTCGGGGCAGCGTCTGATGGGAGGAATCTGAATAGCACGCCTCTGGGGGGGAACCTGCTTGGGGCAGCAAGGTGAGGAAATCTCTACTCGGTACTTGGGTCCACATCTCTGAGAGGAGCCTGAAGTGGGACCCCGAGGACAGCAACTGCTATAGATGGGCTCAGATTGGCGGGGCGGGGTGCAGTAGTTGTAGGATCCTGAAGCGCATCTTGATGGAACGCAGCCGCGGTAGGAGGACTCAGAACGTCGTGGTGGCGAACAGCTGCGGTAGGAAGGCTGCAGCTGGCGAGGAGGGAGACATCTGCTGGTGCTCCGACAGCGCCGCTGCACAGAGAAGCTCTCAGAAGAGCCCTGGGTCTGGCATTGGGGTGCGTAAGTACGGCATGGAGCCCGAGACTGCCGCTGGGGGGCGCAGCTGTTGAAAGAGCCCTGATACTGGGTCTGGGTGGAGAATCTTCCCTGAGATCGGCATGCTGGGGGACACACTACGTAAGTCTGGACAGGCTGGGAAGCTGGATAGGGTACATACGTTTGAACTGGGCGTTCCACATAGCAAGTTTCTGTATAACAAACTGGAGCACATTCTACATAGCAGGTCTGAACAGGACCTGGGGCTCCACACTGTACATAGCAAACCTCAGACTGACAGGGAGCCTGGCACTTCACCTCCGTGGTCTGGGGCTGGCATGGAGCCTGGCACTTCACCTTGGTGGTCTGTGCCTGGCATGGAGCCTGGCACTTCACTTTGGTGACCTGGGCCTGGCAGGGAGCCTGGCAGGGAGCCTGGCAGGGAGCCTGGCACTTCACCTGGGAAACTTGAACTGGGCATGGAGCAGGGCACTCCACAATTTGCATCCCACAAGGGGCTTGAACCACCACCTGGCTCTGGGGACAAGAGGATGGGGAAGGGTAGAAGGAGGAACCCTTCACACAGCACTGGGGGACCGGCAGGCAACACTGAATCTGCTGCTGGTCACACATGGTTTCGATGCAGATGTGTGGGCAGGACCTGAGGGATGAAAAACCAGCTTTAGGAAGGCGAGAGTTGGTAGGAAGGACCAGGACCAAGAGGAGGACACGCTGCTTCTTTCCTGGCCTTTGCTTTCGTCCCCCACCTTCGACCTACACTGAGAATACTTACTGGGTTATCTGGACCCAAGATGAGTCACTATTGCCCAAGAGACCTGCCTTAGATGTGCCCAACGACCTGACTGAGGTCCTGGTCTGAGATCACTTCAAGGGCACAGCCAGGGCTGCTGGTATCCAGGTTCTTTCCCTGGAGGGTGGCATACCAATGTCCAGCACAAGAGGGTCCCTATGACAAGAGGAGTCCCATCACTTCCTGGGGTCCTAAGTGGTGGGAGGGAGCTCTTACAGAAGCAGAGGTAACCCGTGCTCCCAAGCTGTACTCCAAAGTGGGGACTCACAACCACAGGGGCTTGAATTTCCTCATACACATTCACTGTGCAAACATGAAAAGCATGCATATATATGCATTTATATGAGAACAAGCACTCAGGCAACATGTGCTCTCAAAGCATCCACTGGAAGTAAAGAATTCAGTTAGTTATTGGGCAGCTCAAACCCAATATATGTTTATTTCTCTATAGTCAGTCTCTCTTAGGTGAATTTGTTTAAACAGGCCCTCACGGGCCCACACAAAACACACACAACACTCCAGACTTCAAAGGCTTAGGACCAACATGACTGCTTGCTCAGGCAGGTTGCTGTCCTTAATCACCTGTTAGCTTCAGAAAGATCCTCCCTCCAGCTCCTCTGAGAGGCAGGGGAGAGTTAACTAAGAAGGGTAACCCACAGAGTGCCAGATTCCGAGCTACAAGACTGACATTCAGGCACACTTAAAGCCCATGTGGCAGGGGCATTACAAACATGATGTGGGGGATGCAGGCACACAGCCCAGCACCACACCCAGCCAGAGAGAAACAGAGGACTGTCCCCTCCACCCTCACCAAATCCATCTGTTTACATACAGGCAGTCCCGTGACCAGCACAGCAGGGAAGCCGGTTTGACAATCAACTCCCCCAAACAAGCACTTCTCAATGAGCTTCTGAAATACTGAAAATTCTTCTTGTGAAGGGCAAAGTCTTCCATTCTCCATTTATAGGGAATATCTAAATACATATGACCTTGGGGGAGGCAACCTTCCTACACTTGACTTTGCTCACAGAGGAAAAATGGTACCTAAGGATGAGGCCAGGGTTAACGAGGGCAAATACACTGACTTCAATTCCCCATTTCTCCACACAATCTCCAAAGCTATTCTTATGTCCCCTAAAAGTTCACCAGACTTTTCTCCTCAAGCTGATATACCACTCTTCCTCTGCTCCCAGCTTCTCACCTCACTCTGTCTCACCCCTGTGAACCTGAGCACCCCCTGAACATCATCTCCATCCCAATCCCAGGACCCAGCCCCTACTCACCTTCCTCGAGGTAAGCAATCATTCGGACTGAGGCATCTGGACAGAGGGCTGTCTTTATATAAAGGGCTCTGGGTCTGGCTTAGACCATGAGACAATTGGTTGGCATCTATGTGGCTCATCACCCAGGTTGGCATTCCAGCAGCTGGTCCCCTCCCTGTGTGCTTGTCCTTGCAGTCACCTACAGGGTATGGGAGTGTCTCATCTCAGTGCTAAAGCTTCTGGACTGTGGAGGAGCAGATTCTTATTTTCTTCCTCCTTTTTCGCCTTGTCTGTTTCTTGTCCACCCTAAGAAGAGCTGGTGGTGGGGCTGATGAGGGGTGACAAAGGTGTCTTTTCTCCTGAACGATGATTCTAGGCTCTACCTTACTCTTTGTCTGATATTCTCACCAGATGGATACAAAAGAAGAAAAGCTTCCTAACTAGAAGCAGTTAAAATCACCTCAAAGGTATAGAATGAAGAGAACATTGGGTCAGAGCTGCATCTAACATCCCAGCTTGGCTACTTACAACTGTGTGACCTTTATAATTGACTTAAATATTAATTTATTTATCTGGAAAATGGAGATATTAAATCTTCTTTGCTGAGTTATTGTAAGGATTAAGGCAACTATTTTATACAAAAGCTTCCAGTCAAGAATGATATTCAAAATATCTAACATCCACTTGGAGTAACTCCTGACCAAGCAGCAGTCACAGCTGGATGGACGATTGCCTGCGGGATCCCAGTCCTCGGCTTGACGACATGATGGCTTCACAGCAGGTGCACAGCCAATGCTATGGAGTAGTCCTTCGAGAGAGCAAGCAGCCCGGCTCAGGACGGAAATAATACACTAACACCTTGTGAGCCAGATGCAGTTGAGATGGTTATCTTCTTATCTTTTGCCTAAACAATTTTTGCTTACATAATTTTGTAAGTAATAATTAATGTTTGGAAATAGAGATTTTTAAAAAGATTACAGACATCCAATTTTCTCCTAAAGTCAAAAGATCTGGCATGGGTGAGCCGACCTGACCTCAACCTAATTAACACCTGCGCCTCTTAGGTCATAGACTCTGATATTCTGTGATTCTTCATCTTTTTTTTTTTAACTATATCCACAATGCCATGCAAACCGTAATCTTCCTTTGATTATTTTACCAGTGTTTTTATTTTTCTCTGGTAAAATTAAGAGGGAGTGAAATAATCCTTCCACCTGGATAATTTCACTTGTTTATGTAACTTCCAGCCTCTTTAGGTATTTAAGATTCTGACCAAGCTTGTGATCAGAGACTCTAGATTTAGAGGGGTTTGGGGTTGAATCTGAGCTCCAGTACTTGCTAATGCGGTGAAAGCTACTTAACCTTCATGATTCCTTGCTCATAAAACAAAAAGATGAAAAATAAAGAGAAGGAGCAAAAGAAAGAGGCAAAAGAGGAAGAAGAGGAGGAAAAAAGAAGAAGAAGAATCATAAAAGTTATAGGATTATTATGTGAATTATATGAGATAATTAATCTAAAATACTTAGCATTTAATTAATCATTTAGCACCCTGCTTTATTTACCTCATAGGAAAATGGGAGAGAAAATACTTTACCAGGTTCTTGTGAAGATATAATCAGATTGTGGGTATGAAAGTGCTTTGGGACCTATGGTGCACATGACAATTATATCTATAAAAACCTTCCCATGAGGCAGTCTGTGTGCAGGCCAACCTGACTTCTGAGTCCAAGCTCTGGATCCCATCACTCATTCCAAAGGGGTCTTTAGATACTATTACAAACTTAGGTAGACGAGAGACTTTCAGAATGTCAGAGCAACAAGGACCACCAGGAATTATCTGGCCCTACATTGTCATTCTCCAAATGAGGATTCTGAAGCCAAGAGAGAAAGGAACCTATGTGGAGATCTAAAGCTAATGACAGCATTGGAAGGACCAGAACCCGGGAAGCTCTAGCCCCACACAAAGACTCTTTCCACTAGAACAGAAAACGTATTTCTCTGATCACACAATTTGCCAAAGTGCTCCAAACTTGGATAGTCCTGGGACTTGATGCAGACCTAGAAGGTAGTTATGAAAGCAGTGAACTAGAAAAGCTGAGAACATAGACCAACTTGCTTTACAAGAATGTGAATTTCTGAATCCTAATGGCTGTTATCTCTGTCACTCATTTCTTGACAGAATGTGCACTTCTTGAAGGAGGAATCTCTATCTTACTCATTTCAGTATTTCTAGATTCCTGACTTAATATGAATCTGTTGATTGATGCATAGATAGAAGAGTAGATGGATGGCAGAAATTGTGCTTGGTTCAGACACCTTAAACCACTGGAAAACAGGTTAGTGTTGTTCAATCCAGAGACCAGAAAACACTGCAACTCTTGTTACTTCTGCTTCTTGCTTCTTGCAAAGGGAAGTGGGATAACGGTGGGGGAGAGGTAAAATTTTTAGTTGACAATGAGGCTAGTTTTCAACAAAATGGCTTTTAGAGCGTAGTCACCAAGCCAAAACACACAGCATCTAACTCCTGACATTCTTCCTTCTTTGATAGGGAAGTTCCTAGATTTGGAGAGTTATCATTGGTTCAAGATGGAATTAGTACTGAGATTGTCTGAAGGCAGGGATAGATATAGCATATTCTTTTGTTTCTCCAGTGAGGTTTAAAACTCTTACAAAGGGCATTGCTTATGTGGAGATCTGTTCAAACTAAATTGGCCCTTGAGATAAGTGTCAATGTGGCCTATACATGTATGCATTTTTAGGCTTTTGCTTTTTGGTTTAATAACTCAATGTGGACAAAATAACTCATTATCTCCCTTTGTAAATATTCTCCTTCTAAGTTCACCCATAACATTTTTTAATCTAGGAATCTAGGAATCACCTTTGACCCTCCTTCTACCTCACCCCAACATAAAATCCCACACACTGTTCATTCCACTTTATAATTGCTCTCAAGTATATCCCATGTTGTCCATACCCACTGCCCCTGCTGTATCTCAAGTCTTCATGATCTCCTATATGAACTGATGCAATAGTCTCCTCACTGTTTTCTCTGCCTCTTATCTTTCCTACTCCCATGTAACTTTCAAAATAGCTACAAGATTGATCTTCTAAAAAAATGGCCCCAGTCTTCGACACCTCACACAACATCCAAAAAAATAAATAAATAAAAGTGAGGCCATACATAGTGGTTTTCATTCTCCATGCATGTCCTAATATTCACTATGGCTGTTGTTTCCTCTTTCTAGAATACCCTTTCATCTCTCCTTTGTGTATGGAATTATTGCTCATCATTTGAAACAACTCCAGTGCCATTTCTTTTGTAATGTTCCCTGGCTCCCCAAAGCCATGACTCACTCTATGTTTTGGCAGCAATTTACACATGCCTCATCTCAGAGCTATCACATATTCTCTGATTATTTACATTCCTGTCTTCCACACAACCTATGAGTCCCTCCAGGAAAAGAAGTTATGGTGTATACATCTCTGCATCCCAGAAACGGGCACTGTCCCAGTGTGTAGTTTCATTTCACCTTGTTGATTAAATAATTTAATTTTCATGC